CTGATGATAGATGGTTGGGCTTCTATGAGAAGAAAAGGTTGCTAAGGTAAGATTACCAAGTACCTGAAATTCAAAACATAGGGGACCACCACAATAGCTGCATCTTGCAATATCAGCCTTAGATGGGTGACCACCTGACATGGGCCACAGTGGTTTAGAACTAGCACTCCTGCAATACCTGTTAATATAAGAAAGAAGCAATACCATTCAAAAATGAGAAATCAAGTATGTGAGTTAAAGCATGGGTTTAGAATGAATGAAAATACCAAGAGGATAAAGCTAAAGAAAGAGAAAACAGAGAATGACAATTTGTGTCAAGTCTATTTCGGTAACAAGTTGTTGATATGTACTTCATAGTATGTATGGCAACCAAGCAAGAAGAAAAGAAATAAATGACTTCCAGTAGTAACATTGTCAGCAGCCTCTATTTGTTTGATTTTTTCAATTTTGCTTTTTTTAACTTCATCTAAACGTGATGATTAGAAGAAAACCCTATGCAGATAGGCATGTAATGTTGCCTCCATTTACATTGACATTCTCTGTATGAAGGTAATGTAAGATATATGTGGCCACTTTATATGACCTAAGCGCTTGCACAGTCACAAGTAGTACCAGGAATCGTGATTGCTTCTGTTAAACTGTTATATGGTGCACATGAAGTCAAAAAGTTTTCCAGTTTCAGTAGCAAGCTGTCTCACCTCAAAACTTGTTCAGGGGCCTTTGCTATCCGCTCTTGGAAGGAAGCCCAACTCTTTTTGTCAGCATCTCCCTGTGCAACAGAAGAAATGAATAATTAAGATATTCACACAAGCATTCACAACACACGATTGCAACAGTACCGGAGCCAATACCTCAAAATTGTCCATAAGTGACTTCATAGAGTCATCGATTCTGTTCCTAGATACCAATGAATTATTAGTATGTTCATCACCTCCAGACATCTCTGTATCATAATCACTTTCATGCTCATTTTTTATCTCATACTCCGGCCATAAAGTCTTGCTAGCAACTGTTTAAAATGCAAAACATTAATAAGAAAGAATTCAGAAAGATGCTCAACATCATTTGCCCAGACTCTGCAGTCAAAAAATGTGTACGTGTCTAAATGAAAACATCAATGCATCGAACAGTTAATCCTAGAAGAAAAAAGCACTAAATGCCTTGCCCATTAACATGCCAATTTACATGCACAGCTGATTCCAACTCAATACTTGCAGGGGCACTATCAATTTTCTTACCTTTTTGTGCTCTAATTTCTGCAATTCCACCATTACAGGCATTGCAGTCAGATGACTGAGGTGAAAGTCTCAATTGTTGACATTCAAGTTTATGACCTGAGTGCCAGTGCATGGCCTGAAAAGTAAGAAAACAGAAACGGTGGGCATGGAGTTGTCACACAATGAAAATAAGTAACACTTGACAACCCTAATTACCTGGTGCTTTTGTGAGCAATATCGCGCTATTTTGCAACTACTACAGAATTTATCTCCTTTCCAGGTGCCACACCAGTTACAAAGTGGAGCTAAAACATGCACACAGAAAAAACATTATAAGTGCTAATAGAATAAATTAACACAATTTTATTTGTCTTATGTAGTGAAACAAAAAGAAGCTAATATTGACCCTGAGAACAGAGTGATTGCAAAAATGCAATACGGAGTAAGGAAAGTCTATTGCACATAAACATGAATAAGTCAATTACGTGAAATCAACATCAATGTGAACTTAAATTAGCATTTAATGACATAAACAAAACAGCAATATAAATAGGAAAAGCACATGAAACCAGCTGCAAGAGAACTCATAGCAGTAGCAAACTGCAATATATACACACTCAAGAAAAAAGTTATTCTCATAATGGCAAAATCTTTCTCTTTGTTATTTCATTTTCCCACGAAGTAATAATATGGGTGGTTCATAAGAAACTTTGCACAAAAAATTTAACAAGTTTCCCTCTTTTAATCAATTCATCGAAACCCATTCATAGAACTGATAGTTTCCTTCTGCTTTCCTCCAATTTATGGATGAACTGAATTTTAAGAATTTGGATGAAAGCAAATTCCCTTCTCCTTTTACTTCCACCTACCAAAAGAAGGGAAATGCATTCTCACTTACTAGTCTTTACATTTTTATCATTTCCACTATTGCCCTACCTAAGATAATGTAAACCAAGAGTCAGGAACTTAATGCAAAATGCACCCTTTCAATTGAGCAGATAATAACAATAACTTATGCAGTGCTTTTTAAAAAGTGAATGGTGAGACTATCAGATCTTATGCCTGGACAAAATTACTTGTATTCTCATACCTAGATGCGGTACTGAAAACAACTCCAATATTGTCATTATATTTGTAATAGAATTTAACAGCTCATCAGTAAAAATAAGAATACAAGCTACCTCCAGGGGTTAAAGGTTTGTCAGTTGCATTGCCTTTAGGGGGTTCACTTGAATAAAAAGTATTAGCACGAGGCAGTTGGCAACGGAAAACCTTCACACTTGAGGAAACAGCACAGTCAGACACATAAAAGAAAAGCATATCGAACATCTTAACATCTAGAGGCTAAAAATAAAAACAGAATATAACAGATATCATTTGAGATACCTCCGTGATTGCTTCTCTGGATGGCGCTTCCATTGTTCGTGTTGATCTCGTTGAAGACATTTCATAGATAGACACATGAATACAAATAATGTTCGATGAAAGGTTGAGTCTTTTTCAACTAATGGAGCATAAACCTAGGAATTCAATCAA